GAACGCAAACAACAGGGCGATGGGGTTCCGGTTCTGTGTGAGTGTGTCACTCCCCTGACTGTCCTGTCGTCTTTACCAGGCTCCCTACCTGATCTACGTGGAGGTGTTGGAGTGTGAGAACCTGGAGACGTCCCCTGTGCCCGCCCGTATCCCCGAGATCCGGATCCGGAGCACGCGCTCGGTGGAGAACCTTCCAGACTGTGCCCGCGAGCAGAGGCCTGTCAGTTTCAGCACCGTGCCCAACTACGACAACGACGATGAGGCCTGGTCAGTGGATGACATCGGGGAGCTGCAGGTCGAGGTGAGCTCCCGGGGCTAGTTGGGGGTTCGGAGAGCTGTATAGCATGAAAACTGGCCCTTCGGCCCAACCCATCCATGCTGACCCAGACATCCTGAACTAATCTAGTCCCATTTGGCCCCTATCCCTCTAAACCCTTCCTATCCATGTCCCCATCCAGATGCCTTTCAAATGTTGTAACTGTACCAGCCCCCACCCACTTCCTGTGGCAGCTCATTCCACACACGCACCACCCTCTGCGTGAAAAAGTTACCCCTCGGGTCCCTTTCCCCCCTCACCTTAAACCTATGCTCCTCTAGTTTTGGACTTCCCCTACCCCTGGGGAAAAAGACCTTGGCTATTCACCCTATCCATGCTCCTCATGATCACCCCAAGTCCTCCAACACTCCAGGGAAAATAGCCCTGGCCTATTCTAAGTCTCCCTGTCGCTGAAACCCTCCAACGTCCTTGTAAATCTTTTCTGAACCCTTTCAGGTTTAAGTACGTGTTTTATCTCTGTGAGGTGCCCCCCCACCGCCTTGCCCCAGACCTCGGTCTCTGTGGCGTTGCCAGGAAAAGCTACTGGGTGCCAACCCTGGGACAGCGCCGCACTCCCTTGGCGCCAAACCTCCACCCTGAGGTGTGTCACTGTGTTAACGTTATGTGCCTGCAGCGTGTTGTCCCTAATCCTGTTTCTGATCTCTCCAACCCCCCCAGCTTCCAGAAATCCACACCAACAGCAGCGATAACATCTCACAGTTTTCTGTGGATAGCATCACCAGCCAGGAGAGCAAGGAGCCTGTCTTTATAGCAGCTGGGGATATCAGGTAACCCCGCATCCCCTCTTCACCCCCCCCCCACCCCAATTACCCTCCCTCACACCGTCTGTCTCTCTCTCTCTC